GCACCTCCCCCCGCCCCCCGCCCCTCATTTCGGAGCATCTGGGCAGGGCCTCCCTTGGCCCCTTACTCTGCGAGTGATCGCAGCATTGGACTCGGGGGCCATTCGGGCCGCATCCTTTTTCAAGCCCCGGCACCTCCTCGAGGATCCAGAGCGCAGCCGCGCATTCTCTGATCTCCCCCGCCCCATTCCCGGGGGGTTACATTCGACTCCACCTGCAAACACTGCAGAGGAAACTAAAGGCCAGTAGATGGCCATTAGCATCTCATTTGAATATTGTCTTAAGCAGCCAGCCAGAGCCTTCCCAGGCCTGCTCCTGCTGTCAGTCACCTCGGTGTCCTTCTCGCGGTCGGCACCCTCACTGGCTGGGTTTCACCATCCCTGTCTTCTAGGTCAGCATCTGCGGTTGCCAGGTAGGTGGATGTGCGAGGCCTGGTCTTCCTGATTCTCTAGAGGCCATCCCGTTGCCGCTGGCACTATGCTGTCCCCTCAGAGGGCTTTACTCTGCAACCTCAACCACATCCACCTCCAGCATGTCTCTCTGGGCCTGCACTTGTCGCGCCGTCCTGAGCTACGGGAGGGGCCCTTGAGCACATCCTTTCCCCCAGGCGACACCGGGGGCAAGGAGAGCCGGGGCCCCTGCAGCGGGACCCTGGTGGACGCCAATTCCAACAGCCCAGCTGTGCCCTGCCGATGCTGCCAGGAGCACGGGCCAGGCCTAGAAACCCGGCAGGACCCAGCACAGGAGGAAGAGGGGGCAGCCTCTCCCTCGGACCCGGGCTGCTCCTCCTCTCTCAGCTCCTGCTCAGATATTAGCCCTGATGAGTCCCCCATCTCAGTCTACTCGCGGGACCTCCCTGGTAACGAAGATGTCCACCCTCAGCCTAGCATCATCCCCCTGGAGCAGGGCTCCCCTCTGGTCTCCACAGGCCCTGGCGCCTGCTCTCCCGACAGCTTCTGCTGTTCTCCTGATTCCTGCTCTGGAGCGTCCTCCCCTCCCGGCCCTGGCCTGGACTCCAACTGCAATTCCCTGACCACCGGCCAGGACCTCCCTTACCCAGGGCTGGAGGAGGAAATCGAGGGTGGGGAGCAGGCCCTTCTGACCTCCGAGCTCCCGGAGGCGGATGACGGGAAGATCGACACTGGCAAAGCCGAACCCAGTTGGAAAATTAACCCCATTTGGAAAATCGACACAGAGAAAACTGAAGCTGGCTGGAAAATCACTGAGAACAATAACTCTGGTTGGAAAATCAATGGGAATACTAACTCTAGTTGGAAAGCTGAACCTGGAAAATTCGACTCCAGCTGGAAAACCAACACAGGAATAACTGATTCTGACTTGAAAGCAGATGCAGGGAAAAGTGATGGAGGATGGAAAAGTGACGTCAGCGAGGAGCCGGTGCCCCACCGGACAATCACGTCCTTCCATGAGCTGGCCCAGAAGCGCAAGCGGGGCCCGGGGCTGCCCCTCGTGACGCAGGCCAAGAAAGACCGCAGTGACTGGCTTATAGTCTTCTCGCCCGACACCGAACAGCCCCCCACCGGGTCGCTGGGCTGCTCCCCGGCGGCTCCCAGGGAAGTCACCACCTTCAAGGAACTTCGGTCCCGAAGCCGGGC